GCCGCACGGGCACACCAGCACCCTTCCACAGGCACCGCGTGTGGCACAGGGACGCAGGGGGTGGGAAGGGCCGGGGAGCCGGCGCCGCAGGGGGGTCTCACCCTCCGACACGCAGCGCCCACCGCTGCCCACAGCCCCATCAGCAGCGGGGGGGCGCCCTGCGCTCCGGAGGGGGGTGCTGGGACCCGAGCGGACTCTGGAAGGGTGGCTCTGGCCCAAGGCCCACCAGGACACAACTGCAGGAGCAGGAGTAGCAGGAAGCGGCCGGCCCAGAGGCCGGCCCTGTCTGTGCTTTCTCTGCCTCTGAGGACAACGTGCAGCAACGCAAGGACAGCAGGCTGCGGGCCGCGGTGGGCGCTGGGTGTCAGGAGGGTGAGACCCTCGGGGGGCAGAACTGGAGACTCCGGAGGGAGCCGTGCGGCTGGAGAGGAGCTGCCTCGAGGCCCAGGGAGCGGCTGTGCAACCACAGGCTCCCAGAGGCAAGAGAGGGCAGGGCAGAGGCTCCCAGGGTGAGCCCTGCTGGGAAGGGGGCGGAGCCTTGTGGGGGGCAGAGAGTTGCCTGTAGGGCGACTGACTGATGATGGGCTTCGCGGCAGGATGTTTCTGACCCCAGGACCTTGACTAAGGAGAGAGGAGGAGGAACAGGGACAGGCCTGGGAGGGAGAGGAGCCCCAGGACAAAGGCACTGGAGGAGGGCAAGGCCTCTCTGGGCTTGTCTAGGGCTGTGATCCCTCACCGGTGGGCTGCACCCTGATCTCGGGCCACAGTTGGCCCACCAGGAAACGTAAAGATTACACAGAATGGGAGAAGACCGTCATAACACATACACATTTCTAATAAGGGGCTTCCGTTCACAGTGTATGAAGAGCTCCTGCAATTCAATATGAAAGGCAGACAGCACCACAGTGGGCAAAAGAGAAAACTCGCACGGACACTTTACCAAAAAACAAAAAACACGTAAGAAAGTACTTGTCTTCATTAGTCACCAGAGAAATGCACATTAAAAATCAAACACAGAGCCAGGCTCGGTGGCTCAGCCTGTAATCCCGCGCCTTTGGGAGGCTGAGGTGAGTGGATTGCCTGAGCCCGCAGGTTCGAGACCCGCCTGGGCAGGCGAGACCTCATCTCTACAATAAATCAAAAAATCAGCCGGGTGTGGTGGCGCGCACCTGTAATTCCGGCTACTCGGAAGGCCGAGGTGGAAGGATCGCCGGAGCCCAGCAGGTCGAGGCTGCGGTGGCTGGGAGCGGCCACTGCCCTCCAGTCTGGGCGACAGAGTGAGACTCCAACTCAAAAAAAAAAAAAAAAAATCAAACACAGGAGAGGCGGGGAAGATGGCGGCCAAGCCAGTTTCCCCGTGGGAGTGAGTGAGTGTATGCAAAATTTGGCGTCTGTGCGGGTGAGCGGGTGGGCGTGTGAGTGGCGGACTGAGTGAGGGCTAGGGAGCTGGCGGTCAGGGCTCTCCTGGTGTAGCGGCTGGTGCCAGTGGCTGGACTTGGACCCTAGCGATGCCTGGGACACAGAAGCCGAGCACCATTTTCTCTTTCTTTTCTTTCTTTCTTTTTTTTTTAAATCAACAAACTCTCCCTGGCAAGAAAATGCTGGGAGAGTGGGTGGCCAGGCCCCTGGTGCAATAGCAGGTGCTGCAGCTTCTCTACTTGGTCCCTGGCTCTTCCCAGGTCGCAGAAGCAGAGCACCATTGTTTTTTTTTTTAAAACAGAAAGTTTTCCTTTGGAGCGGGTGTGTGTGTGTGTGTGTGTGTGTGTGTGTGTGTGTGTGTGTGTGTGTTCAAA